AAAGGAACCGTGGATAAAAAAAATAACAAAACCTACTCGATTCACTAGTAAAGCAGCCTCAGACTGTGGGGGTGTTTATACTCATGAGCATGAATATCAGAAAACGGAAAAGGTCATTCATGACGCGCCTTGCGGTGTGCAGGCGATGCTGGTAAACTGTCATCATTAATAAGCCTTCTTCGCACCGGGGAAGTTGAAGCTGGGTGTGAAGATTTGCGTCGTCTTTCTCCAGATAAGTGGCCAGCAGATTGTGCTTCCATGGGGCTTTCATCTAGCTGCAATTGTAAAGAAGAAACACTGGACCAGTTAGGTATATACGGTAAAGGGATATTCAAGGTTTCACAGAATGGTGCAAGGTCTTCCGGAAATCTCATGAGAGCTGATCTCCCCATATGTGTTGCAGCAAGACCAAACGGAAACTTCCAACGGTAGGCGATACCTGTAGAGCGAAGTAAATCTAATAAGGGGCGCAGGTCTTTCCTACGTTGCAGGGTGAGATGGGAGAGATCCTGAAATAATTTAATTTCCGTTTCCTGGTAAAACAAGCGCTGTTTGTCCCGAGCTCTACGTAATATTTCCTCTTTAAGTCGGAAGTCGACTAGGCAGCAAACTATATCTCTCGGTGGGTCCGTGTCTCTGCCTTTGGGACGTAGGGCCCTATGGAGACGTTCGATCTCAATAGGAGATTCATGCGGTCTTTCCAAAAGATCATTAAAGATGGTTTAAAAGAACTTGGGCGAGCTGGCCAGACTCTATTGCTTCCGGTACACCGCGCACCCGCAAGTTATGTCGTCTTCCCCTATTATCCAAGTCCTCAATATGACGATCGAGCTCTCTTAGGTGCATTGTGTGCGTGTCAACCTGCTTGCGCACCTCATGAATAGCAAGGCCTTGCATACTAACTTTATCCTCCACTGCGTCCAGCCTATGCGCCACTGCCTGCAGGTCAATATGTAGCTCAGCTATTGCCGCTGAAAGAGTCCCTTTAATATCTGATGCAACCGCTTTCAAATCCCCGATGGTGAGAGGGGGAGGTTCGACATGGCCAGGTATGGCCGCTGTTGTGGCAACTGTTGTCAAACTAATAGACTGTGATGGAATCTCCTTTGTAGGCGAATGTAATGGTGATGCAATAGAAGAGGATTCTGTGTGATCCGGAGTGTGAGACCGGAATAGCTCCGGGATACTGCGATTAGCAGGACCACCTGTACGGCGAGGGGATCTGGAGAGGAGGAGTGGTAGCTTTCCTGTCTGCCTTCCCCATGTTTGCGTCGCCTCTCTGTGAAGATTGCGTAGCCCCACCTACGTGTGTCAAGGCTCACGGTATTATATTGCCATTGTCTTTGGGGTCAAGCTGGATCCCCCAGAACAGATATGTGAAAATAAGAATAGGTAGTTTACAACAGGCCCAGAATTGCACTATATGCCTCAGCGTGCAGGAAAGGATAAGCAAAACAGGGGGGTCAATGGTTTCTGCTGTGCGGACTTACGGATACAGGGATTACCACAGCCTTCCCCTTATATGAATCTGTATGGGATGTCTTCGATATGCCTATCCTCAGCACAGCTTCCTGTTGTAAAGGCTGTAGCAAGGCCTCTACAATATGCCGATATTTCCTGGGTTTGTGTGGGGGGTGACCCAATGGATCGTGAAGTGCTGGCAGTTCTCTGTGGGAGAAGGAATGTGCTCATGTGTGATGTGTCTCCCTGGACTGAAAACACACTCAGCCTGTATCCTGAAGGGCGAGGGTCCTGGGCTCACTAGGCCTCACTACTCCACACCACCCCTGCTTCACATATGGGGGGAGGGAAGGTGACACTTATATTCCTGTCGTCCCGGCTGGGACGGAGGGACGACAGGCGGATCGTTCACTGAACGAGTGGGAGGGGGGGTGACCAGTCTTCCCCCTTCCCACCTCTGCACCACGTGCTCTGTCACCCACCCCCGACCGGCCTGATGTGAGCAGGAGGACTCCGCGGCTCCACTCGGCCGCAACAAGGCCACACCCGGGCACCGCCTCCGAGTGGCGCCAACAGCGCCCGAAGCTGCCCAGCAGGGATGTCGCGGGGACGGGTGAGCCCCACACTCACCCCGCCCTCCGATGCACGGTGGATGCCGGTGGATGCCTGCGGATGAAGAGATGAGCCGTCGGAGCTCCAGTTCAGGCGACTGGTCCGATCGCCATCTTGGACACGCCCCCTATTTTTTTTATTTTTATAAAAGGTATGCAGGAAGGAGGGGGATGGAACTTTTTTAAAGAATAGTATTAGACTGATCTTCCATTTGTATTTTGGGGTAAGTCGAGACATGTTTTGTCCAAGCTGCAGGAAGCTCTAAAGCACATGCATATATTTTCAGTGCCCTAGTAGGCAATGTGGCAACTCACCATATATCTCACAAACACAAATGTTCAGGTCGTAGGAGCAGTACTACAGAGTAAACATGCAGGCTAGGTTTACCTACATTTTCAATGTTCCAGTAGCTAACTGGGAAACCGACGCATTGCTGGCCAACAGGAAGGAACGTTTGGTACGAAGGTATGGTGCTACACAATGTGCACAATGGGCTGCCAGTTACATTTCTGGCAGTGAAAAAGGGCAGGACTACACAAGGTGACCATGCAAGCGCTGGTTGCACTGGATTTTTTAGTGCACCCACAGAATTTCAGGCTATTTTGACGCAAATAATCTAAAAAGCTACTCTGCTGCCTGAATCCATGGGGTTCTAGAGGACCATTTGCCACCAAAACTTATATGTAGCATTTGACTTTAATGCGGTCACGCCTACCCTTGGCTAGCAATGTGATGGGTGGTCTCAATAGCTTGCGGGGGGAAATGGAATAAAGGAAAATAAGCTATATTAGACTTGAATGTGATTGCAACCCAGAAACCAAACCCTCCTTAAAATTGCAAAAATACAAGTAGGCTTTTGTGTACTGCTACTGCTGTAAATCAATTTACATAAACCAGTAAGCAGCTAGGTAAGAATTTATATGTAGAGTGCATAATCTTCATAAAAAGTGCAGCGCAACTCCCTCAGATCCCCTATCCTAAACGTAACTTGTACCACTATTTATAGTGACAAACATTTGTGATTTAAATAGTCCCATCAACATAAAAGTCCATACAATACACCAACTGGCGTTAATACTTGACACTGTGAATATCTTCTTCTTTTCACACTTTGGTGTACTACCACACCAGGTGAAAAACCTGCTCACATACAAATTAAGTCATTAACACACTTCTGCATATACACAGCCTTTAATCTTCCTCTTAACTCCTATTGTCCTCCATATGGTGAGACATTATTAGTATTATTGGGTTTATCAGATTTTCAAATCATTGCAATCTGTTTTTATGTAGATTTTACACAGTGTTCCAGCTTTTTTTGGAATGAAGGTTGTAAAAAGGAGCTACCAGTATAAAAAGTTAGGAAACTCCAACATTCCTGGCACAGAGATCACGTGCGTTTGTACATTGTGTTTATCTGTGATTACGTGTGTTTACATGCGGCTGCGTTTAGCTGTGTTAGTAAATTCTTGCCTTTTCTAATGTGACCGTTTACTTTTTTTTGTGTGCTTTATTTATATACAGATAGCTGAGGTACATCACTCCAGGACGCTGTCAACTATATATTTTTTTTTTTATGTTATGAAAATGTTGCTAAACGCAGTGCGTAAATTAAGCCACAGGGATGTATTGTCTGCATTTAGCTGCGGTATACAAGTTCCAAGTTCCTCGAACTGCAGCTAAAAGTTGAAATCTAACAGATTGTGTGAAAGGGGCCTAAGATTAGACTGGGTGATAAATATGTGTTTTTATAAGTGCATGCACACTGTTCCTCACACACATTTTACTCTTCTAGAGTAGGCACTCAACCAGGGTGCCATCTGAGGCTGTCAGAGGTGCTGCGGCAACCTGGTTGACAAAGGCATTCAAATCAGACTAAGTTCCCACTGCTCCGCTGAACAGTACATCAGCACAGCACTTGCACTGTAAGTGCAATATATGTTTTATTCCTTGGATTTTAATAAATGGAATTACACTATGTGGCCTTCCTCCTCCATTCCTTATACATGAGTACTCGATTGCCAATGATGTTGGATTGAAATAGGCCAGTGTAGCCAAACAGAGGCGGACTACAAGTCACAGCAGAACCCAACATCTCCTCCACCAAAGCGAGTCTGACTCTTATTTGTTTATAAGAGTCCACAGGAGCTGGTGAGTGAGTGGGACCACTGGGGGGAACACAGAGCACGAAACTACATGGATATATGAAGAGCACTTTAATCCTTGGAAGCTAAAAATCCACTAACAAAGTCACAAGGAACTGTTTGTTTGTCATCATAAAGGGGCAGCGCTCTTATACTTTTTAATTTTAAAAGTGTACAATTTTGCTGTCTCTGCAGCTAAAGGGGGAGCTACTGGGGTGGTAAAAACACAGCTCAACCTTGTGGTTTTACAATCTCCTAACCTCATGTGGCTCACAACTGCATGGCTGCATGCTTTGTGCAGGGCAGCCCATTCATTTCAATGGGCTGCCCTACCCACTGAAACACAGGGAAAATAGTTCCTAACCCTTTATTTTATTTTTTGTGCCACAGTGAAAATGCATCATGTTTGCCAATGCGTAGGGAAGTACAATTAAGAACTAATGGCACCCTACACATCCGCTAAAGAGCAGAACATTTGTGTGTATGTTTTGCATCCATTCCCTGACATGCAGTGATGTAAACCAAGCCTTAAAGTGTGGTGCCTTGACACTGAAAATACATTTCACAGGAGCCAGGACTGGAAAAGGGCTAAGAAACACTGTTCTAGAGACAGTTTTTTCTTTGCTCCATTCCCCAGTCCTGCTTGTAACATACTAAATATTTCAGTGTGGCTCATTTTGGTTTCACGGTCATTTCTGTAATAAATGTTCCATGCAGTACACACACACTACCATCTCAACAAACTCCAAAATCAAATTTTAGGAAGAATTTTTACCAACATACCGAGGGAGGCTTTGATGGTTCTATATGCCTTCCAAGAAAAGAAAGCAACCGCCTCCATATTAGACCACTTCCTAGGAACATTACTCCCAGTAACAAACCAAAAGATCTTGCATCCTAGAAACAGAGAAGAGAAACAGAAAAAAAATGCACAGAATGAACAAGAATTCACAGAATATTAAAAAAGAATACCAAATTAAAAAAAGAAAAAAAAAAAATCTGTGTGGGCACACAAGCTCATGTCACAGCCACTACCTCTTAAAAACTAGTGCAGATTAATCATTAAAAAAAAAAAAAAAATATTTATATATATATTCCAATGATTGAAGTGAATTCAGTCATATTATTGTGGCGTGTGTGTTATATTTTATATATATATTTCCAATGATTGAAGTGAATTCAGTTATACTATTGTGGCATGTGTGTTATTTTATATATATATATATATATATATATATATATATATATATATAACACACACGCCACAATAATATGACTGAATTCACTTCAATCATTGGAATATATATATATAATAAATAAAACACACACGCCACAATAGTATAACTGAATTCACTTTAATCATTGCTATCATTGGGCACAAAGCTGAAGGGCAACCGAAGATAATAAAGCTATTGGCCTGTGTGAGATAGTCAGCAGTAATGCCAAACATTGTTTTGGCTACTAGGTCCAGTTAGTCAAATGTGCAGATACATTCCAAAACTACATAATTCTGAAGTCAAACTAAAATCCACCCTCTGGAGGTAGCACACGGTTATTTTAAAAGCTTATTAAAAGGTATCTGCCAAATGCTGGATAAATCCAGGTTACTTGGTCACCAATTAGATAAAAATGCAACTTGGTGATCAAGATCACATCCTCCATGCTAAATCTTCACGACCACAATGAAGGCCAGATAGCCATAACCTCTCTATTACAAGCACGCTTCATAGCCATTTTCTCTGCCATGTATGAGCAGAAAATCACAATGCGCTGTGTAGCAAGAGGATAAGACTTGCCAATACCACAGGCTGTACAAATAACAAAAGCTGAGCAGCACTCTATTACTGAGCCTTGATTCCATTAAAAGCATGGCCTAAACCACTTGACCACCTAACTCTAGCTGCACTGCACTGCACTGCACTGCACTATGGAACACAGTGAAAAAATGTCTTGGGACCTTCAGATCCAAAATGAAAGAAAGGAGCAAGGCCAATTCTGCAAGTGAAACCTGTTTGTCATACGTGGTTTCAACGTGGTTTAGTTGGGGGATGTAAACTGTACTGTATAGTGATCGGTTACACTTTTACCTAATGGGGAAGAAAGTAATGACAAAAGAACAGGTAGTGAATGAGTGTATCTGATGGACTGGTGAGGCACAGTTTTCCATTGTAATATCAAATTGGAATTTGGATATGAGCAAGGCATTTGTGTGAAACATAATGGAGGTACTGACTTGGTAAATTAATGATTCTCTATTTTGTTTCTTGGTTTTAAAGTTCTAAAGAATCTGTACAACATTGGCCTAGATTTCTCCATTATCCATGTGTATATGTATATTTCTCGTTCTTCAATTATAATATGTATTTTTGTAACTTACGATCTTTCAAAGGTAGATTCCAAATTCATATACCACGAAAGGCAACTCCAATGAGACCAAAGAGAGAGATGGAGCAAGGTACCGCATCGGTAAGTTGTAAGTTCAGTCTCATCATCACATTTCGGTGCGCGTGCTGGAAAAACAAACAGGTACAATACTACTTGTAACTGGTACGCGAATTTCCAAGCAAGGAGAGTTAGGGGCCCAACCTTCCTGGAAAGGGACAAGAGCAGAAAAGGCCATCCTTCTCTTCAATTTGTCAATGCTTTCCAGAGCAACTTTTATCAATGCAATTGAATGCTAATGTTGCCATGAAAAAGTACATGGAGGGAGGGTTAAGGAAAAAGATTAGGCTCATTTTAGTTGTCGATTTACCCTACGCACAAATGATAAATTACCATCAAGTAATGTTAAATGAAAGTATAGTGTATTTTCAGGTTTTCCCCAAACCAAAAAAATA